ATTAGTGTAGTCAAGCCAAATCAGTTTAAGATGGAAGAAAACAAAATATTTATTGGAAAGCCATTTCAAGATCACCTGCATCATAACCCATTCCTCTTAATTTTCATCTTGACATGTATAAATGCTTTCGGTAGAACACATAATCCGCCCGCAGAAGAATACAAACACCAAAAAGATCTCATCAACCACACAATCCATTTAATCCTTTACAGCACTTAATTCAAAATTTGTGTGGCATTTAATTCAACATTAATGGCAATGACTAAATGCACAAAAACGCAGGGAAACAATACATTTTAGCAGCTGCAGATTCATATAGACCAACACAAGGTGCTGCGTTTCTCTCGAGTTTAGATAATATTAGCCAGTTAAATAATGCTGACATCTGGTTATCCACTAAGAAGTGGAGCAAATACTGACCAAATTTAGCCCTTATATTTTTAACACTCTTGTTGTACTTATCAATGACAGTTTTTTTTTTACTTTAGTAGAACAAAATACAGGACTACAGTGTGAAATGGATTAAACACCTCTTACATTTAATGCTTTTGGATAATTATACTATCGCAGGCCAGAGCACAATAACAGAAAAACATCGCGTTCATTCCGAAACACTTGCCTACATTTTAAGTCCAGCAGAAACATGTTTTTATCATTTGAGTACCTCTAAAGAATTGAATATTCTAGCTCTCACAATCATAAACAACTCATCAAAGCACCCCACTGGCAATGGATCATGACAGCTCTAGGGAATATAATCTGTGCAAGACCTTGCCATTGCCAGAATTCTTCAATAAACCAAAGCCTCCATAACCCGGTCAAACCCCTTCACTGCACACGATTGATGTACAACAACTGTGAGTGACACAAAAGGCTCGAGTCAGCATTTTTCACATTGTAAAAATGCCTGTGTAAGGATGGAAGCCCTTGTGGGAATGTGAGAATGATTCAAACCAGATAGGGTTCCCTCCCCATTCTAACTTCTCTTCAGGAAACAGTCTGTTGACGCGGCTGTTTTGAGGAATTAAAAAGCTGTGCTGACACAAACCCCTGGGGGAAATTGCAAGGCCTCTCGAGAGAGTTTGCTACCAAGTGGAAAAAGCAGCATCTGTCACCAGTTGGGAGTTTGGTATGGCAAATCACTGCTGCAGTTATAAAGAACTACAACTCCTAATGGAGCAACAGAGTTATCGGTCATATATATATCTACAAGAAGAAAAAACTGAGAATTTTGTTTCATACATTATGCTTAAAACTAATGTGCTACTACTACAAAAAGGCACACCAAAAATTCTGAAAAAAATCAAATATTCTAATAAAATCCAAAATATTCAAATAAACCTTTTGAAAATCAAAAATACAAGGGAAAAAGCACAAAAGAGGGTACTGTATTGTCCATTTGCTTTTTTAATTTCTCTAAAGCATAGCATTTGATATAATTAATTTGTCTCAAAGGATATCTCAATTTAAAAACCAAACCTCAATATTCTGTTTCTCACAATAATTATGTAACAAA